GATCAAACGAAGGCAATTCCCCGGCCAAACCATTATAATATGCAATTTGTTCTGCCACCACAACATGCGAAAGCGAGCATGGATGCTTGCAGCACTTGTCTTGAAGAAAAATATATGGTTTTTCACCTTAACTTTTGATGATGCACTATCTACTAACTCCCTCGTGTTAGTTATTGGGCCCGGATAAAGTTTTAATCTGGCAATGCTGAGTTGTACTGTCGAGTTGTAAACTGTAAGTCCAAGCTGAGAAGGGCTATAAAGAAAGAAGAATTAGAGTGCTTAAGTAGGTTTTACCCAAGAAGACACTCCGATGCTTAAGTCAGTAAGGAGATTTTAGTCAGAATATGTGAAAGAGTTCAAGAGCTTTTGTGCGCATACCTTTCAGAGAGGTCATGGGTTCCTTTTATATCTATCTGAGGTTTAGGTGCCATCAAGCAACGTCTTTGTCTTCTGCGAAGTTGTTTCCACAGCTTGGAGTGTGATGAACTATTAGTTGCTAAATCCGCACGACAGTTACAGGTCGCTCGTGTGTCTTGTAGTGTACAATTCGGCGAGTTGTTCCTATAGTCGTGGTAATGGTGTTCGTGTGGGCACGGTGTGCAGAACTGTTTCGGAACGAGCTGGTGTTGTCGACGGGCCGAGCTCGCCTTAGCTTGACCTTACACCTGATGTCGATTGCCACGTGTTGGTATGTCGAGCTGTCTTGCTGAATTGGACGTTGTGTCACTAATAGTGTCCATGTGTCGATAGTTGCGTGGGTGACCAAAATGCCCCTCATCAACTTTCTTCCTCGGCAAAGGTGATAATTATTTGTGTTCTTTGGCAATGACAACAGTCTAAAACTCTGTTTGTGTATGGCAAATTGATTAGCTTTGATGGTATTTTTGGCTATTCACCTATTTAACGGTTATAGGACTTCTGACCTAAATTGGTCTCGTTTAAGTGCTCATTGAACATGCGTACAAAGCTGTGCCTACCTAGTGATGGGACTAAGGCCCCATTTGGTTCACAGGAATAGGGGTTTGAAATCAGAATCAAAATGGGCTATTCTGATTCCAATTATTTGATTGAGCCGAATTGGAATCCCATTCCCGTTCCTGCTCGATTCCGATTCCAGCTGTGATGTGTGAACCAAACTTACTTTAACTAAATTATAATTATTTCCAATAAAAGAAATTAAAATATAATTTGCTAATTTTTTAAATGTGAAATGGGATCGGTTGCATTTGAAGAATCCAAAATTTCTGTGTTTTCTTGCAGGAGATGCCGACTTGGATCGTCCGATAACGTGCGTGCCGGGGATTGAAAGCTTTCTCAGACGACGAGACCTCCCGAGTTTTTTACGAACCAATAACTTGAGTGACCGTTTTCTCCAATACCTTATGACAGAGACCCTTAACACGACTCGAGCATCTGCCCTCATACTTGATACATTTGAGGACCTAGAAGGACCGGTCCTCTCTCAAATTCTTTCTCATTGTCCAAAGCTGTATACAATCGGACCTCTCCATGCTCTCTTAAAAACCCTGTTTACAGATTCCTCGCCTTCTGTTTCGTCTAATAGTCTCTGGGAAGAGAACAAAAGTTGCATAACGTGGCTTGATTCAAAACCGTTGAGATTGGTGGTGTATGTAAGCTTTGGAAGTATAACTGTGATGACCAGAGAAGAAATAATAGAGTTCTGGCACGGTTTGGTAAACAGCGGAAAGTGGTTCTTATGAGTCATAAGGCCGGACTTGTTAGCTGGAAAAGAAGGGGAGGGTCAGATCCTGACAGAATTGATGGAGGGGACGAGGGAGAGGGGATACATGGTGGAATGGGCTCCCCAGGAGGAAGTCTTGGCCCACCCGGCCGTCGGTGGCTTTCTGACCCACAGTGGGTGGAATTCTACCCTGGAGAGCATTTACGCAGGAGTTCCGATGATCTGTTGGCCCTACTTCGCGGATCAGCAGGTGAACAGTAGATTTGTCAGTGAGGTGTGGAAGCTAGGTCTAGACATGAAGGATACGTGCGACAGATTGAAGGTGGAATTAATGGTGAAAGAACTGATGGAGAAGAAAATGGATGAAATATTGTTGAAATCGGCAGATAAGATAGCGAAGTTAGCGAGGATGTCTGTTAGCGAAGGAGGTTCCTCTTCCTACAACTGGGACAAACTGATCAAAGATATAAAATCGATGTGCCTGCAGCAAGCTTCCCATGAATAAGCCTAGCTAAAATGTTTCCATTACTGGTTTAGAATATGCATGTTCAATTTCATAATACTGATTGTGTACTTTGAAGACTTCCGAGTGCATGTGTTATCTACCCCTCAGGTGGCCAGTGGAGAGAAGATTATTCATTACAGTTTACAAGCTATACCCTCCCTTTCCTTCTCTCTCTATCTAACATCCAAAATGATGCTATATTGATGTTACATCAGTATCGTTGTGTCTTTTCTCGGAAAATATTGAATTTAGCGTTATTCCTCATCACACTTTTCCAATTTTCAAGACATGGTATGGAGTAAAATAAGAGAGTGTTGTTTGAAGCATGCTTTGTATGATGCAACGCCTACGTGGTGTCATTTTCTAAGAAAACGATATCGATGCCAAACATCCTCTTTAATTACAAAGCCAAAAAAGCAGAAAGTTTTGGATTTAAGCAGAAAGTTTTGGATTTGAGAAACTACCATATAAACATTATCCTTAAAAAATTTTAACTTTGGAGGCTTCAAAAAATCTTTTGCACTCATTGGTTAATGTAAAAAAGAGGGATTTAAGTCGTTTGTATTCATTACAACCAAAATAACAATTGAAATTCATAGGAATACAAATTTTACAAGTGTAAAACTGAAGCAATTTACATTCATGAATTGGTCAAAGATGTTTTTGAACTGTACAGATTTGTTTTTGCACCGGAAATCAAAACTACCAACTCCAATGCTCTAAATGTGTTGTGAAGTGTTGTGAGGAGCACTCTTTGAAGAGCAAATCTCCTGTAGGAGATGAAAGGGACATGTTCTCAATGTAGCTACAAAGGCTGCTATTATGACTGGTTGTTGGGAGTCCTCCAGTGCAGTGCATGGCTGCAAGTGTTGCGATGACGACTTGGGATCTGCTTCTCTCACTGAACGCTACTTACACCGACTTCACAGAATGTTTAAAATCCATAGTGGGATGTGAGGTCAGTGTGAGGAGCGCTCTATGAGGAGTATGATCATTAATTATTGGGTAAATTACAAAGACCCCCCTGTACTATAGGGTCTGTGACAAAGACCCTTCTATACTTTGTTTTGTGACAAATGCATCCTGTACTATGACCGTGAGACAAAGACCCCCTTTTGTTAGTTTTTCGTTGAAGTCTATCATTACAATATTTTTTAATCCCCATACTACCCTTGTTATAACTACCCTTGTACTTCCTAGGCAAGCTGAGCTAAAACCTTGTACTATTAAACTCGGCTCGAATCCACCCCTACCAATGAGAATATTAGCTTTAGACCCTAAAGAAGAGCTAATAATTCATCCTTCATGGTAATCCTACTCATTTTAATAAAGTTTTTCATTGATAATTGAGGCACTTACGAAGATTTTCTTGGGCTGGGAATGTCCTAGAAGACATATTATTCCTTGTCTCTGCTTTCTAGAATCAAACTCCGAAATCTTACTTCCGTAGCCATACTTGTTCATTACAATAAATCAGGTCCCAGGAGATTCTTAAAATTGATTAGGAAAAAGCAAAATCGCCAAACTTACATGCATTTTTCATTGCACTAAAGTCCACAATCTACACTCTTTCCATTCTTGTTCAAGAAAGGACTCTACAATTGCTCCTAATCCATCAAATAATAAAGAGCCTATATCAAACAGATTAAAACTATCAACAACCTCCTCCATTGCTATATTAATCTTGCAACTGCCCCAATCCTCATAGAGAAGAAAGCCAGGTCATCATCACCTTATGATAGCTTGATGCCATCCCAACAGATTGAACGCTGGTTGACAACAATAATACTTCCATCTCCATCTCCAGGTTCTTCTGAATATGAGAGAGAATTTATTGAATATCTTACCAAACCCGCATTACTATTACCATGAATGTTCCTACAGTTTGGAAGCTGTAGGCTTGTCCAGGAGCCAGGTTAGCTTCCCTTTAGGTGAAACAATTTGAACAGGCAGCAAATCAGAATTTTCCTGATTCCCAAGCGCTCTATGCACAGCATTAGCTTTACCAAATCCACATACAACAAGGGTGATGCTTGCAGACGAGTTGATTACCGGAAAAGTATAAGTTATTCTCTCTAGAGGTGGCTTTGGAGAGTCCTTGATGAAGGTTACCCATGTTTATTCTCATTGACGAGAGGATGCCCGGGGAATAGAGACGCCACATGACCATCCAAACCCCTGCCCAAAAGCATGAAAGGGGAGGAGAGCGGAAGAAGAGAGATTCGGGGAGAGAGAGAGAGAGAGAGAGAGAGATGTGAAGGAATCTGAGATAAAGGGGATTAACGCTGTTGATGTTCGTGTATCGTGAGGTCGAGGAAGATGAACAGTATTTTCTCCCAATTGTCCGAATAGTTATTAAAAGGGTAGTACGAGAATTAAAAAATATTGCAACGACGCAATTCAATAAAAGCTAATGGAAGGGGGTTTGTCTCACGGTCATAGTTCTTTGTCACAAAACTAACTACAGGGGTCTTCGTCACAAACCCCATAGTACTAGGAGGTCTTTGTAATTTACGCTTAAGGGGGGTGTTCTTTTTTCGGATTTTGAGAGGGGGGAAAGTTGGTCAATGGGATTTTGGTTCCCTTTGACCATGAATCCAATATTCTTTTTTCAAATTTTTGTAGGGACCAAGGCCTCTCTATCACTTACCCACCCATATCCTAGATGGATAAATAACTTTCCCACCTAGTGGAAAAGTTGCCAAAACTTGAATGAAACAAAAATGTCCCTTAAAATAATGAATTTTTATGGCTAAAATGGCCATTGACTTATTTACATGAGAAATAAAACAAAATGAGTAAATGCACTTATCCCTTTTCCATTAAAAACTACACAAGTAATGGGGAGCTCGGCTTCAGTCTAGGCACGCTACGTCCAGGCAACGTTCATCTCTTGTGGTGAATCTTACGCTCTCTCTCCCCATTCGCCCGGCGGCGATTGTACAACCATCACGGCCTGGACTGAAGCCGAACTCAAACGTGAGTTTTGCTCCTCTCCTCTCTTCTCTTCGACTGTAGCTACCTGGACCGAAGCCGGACTCCTCTCCAAGTCCAAGGCAATCTACCTATTCCTCATTTCCCTTGCTATTGATTTACTGTGCATCAGAAGTTCAGAACGATCACCAAAACCTTACTCGTCACTCTGATCTTTGTCTTTGGATAGTTGTAGAATTTGAGGCTGTTGTTTCAATTCTTCCATGGCGTTTGCTCGTTATCCACCGGCTGTGCCTGTGGACACTTCAAATCCTCCGAGAACCCCGGTTATATCTTCTTTTTCTTCAGCTTCCTCCATTGTTAATACCACTATCTTTTCGAATTCTTTCTCTTCTGTTCGGACCAAAGTGCGTGAGCCTTCACTCTTTTCGAGTTTCCGTAGAATCGCACAAGCAGGTGTTCTCCTTCTCTTTCATTAATAAGAACTTCTTCCTTTTTTTTTATTTGCAGGGATTTGTCCAACTTCTCTTTCATTTTCAATGGTGTGAAAGTTTCCGAGGATATTGTTGCCCGGAATTGAAATTTAGAGATTCGATTTCATGGTTTTTTTCCTGTACTCTGTGATTAGTTTATTCTCCAGTTTCAATAGCTTTTAGTACTCTGTTCGGATCAAAGTGCCGAGATCCGTCGGAGCACGTCTACCGGGGACACAACGGACCTTGGGGCTTCCAGCATCAGCTCGGCGTTTTTGAGTGGCAGGGCGATATGCCAGAGATTTCCTTCATTCCCGAAATGTTATTCTTTATATACATGAGGATACTGGCAGACATGGGTAGAAGTAGGAGGTATTCCTGGAAACTGGAATCGGTTCGAGAGCCCAACGGTGACCACCACCGTCGCCTGATAAACCTTCGGTTTGTATCCCTTCTGACACTTGGTATCGATGAGCGCCATATCTGAATCAAGAACTCTACCGTTCACACTGATTGCAGGGCAAATCAGGTAAAGCTTTCCCCCTTGTACTTCCTCATCCGCTCTCAATGCCGAGATCCGTCGAATCCGTCGGAGCACGTCTACCGGGGACACAACGGACCCTGGGGCTTCCAGCATCAGCTTGGCGAGATTTTAAGTACTTGTCCTATCTTCTTGCAGTCGCCACCGGGCGGATGGGGAGAGAAAGCATGAGATTCGTCTACGACAGGAGAGGAGAGGAGAGGAGAGGAGAGGAGAGACGTTTTGCTTAACCCTTCACACGATTCAGTGAAGCCGAACTCTTACCTTGGTACTTATCTAAACACGAACGGGGCCTAATTATTATGCGAGGTTTATGTGAGAACAAATTTTGTACGGAAAAAATCCGGATTCCATGACGTGTCTACTAGTGATCCAGAAGCGATCCCTTTGACTTCTAACAGAGGAGACTGCAGAGATAGCAGGGACGAGCTTTAACGGATCCCTTTGAGAAGATGGAACCATCACCGGTGGCAGTACCTCATGTGCTCGTCTTACCGATCCCCCTCCAGGGCCACATAAACTCCATGCTCAAGTTATCAGAGCTCATCTCACTTGCTGGATTTCACGTCACATTTCTCAACACCGAACACATCCACCGCCTTCTCCTCCACTTTACAAACGTCACCTCCCGCTTCGCCCGTTGGCCCGGATTCCACTTTGCAACCATCCCAGATGGTCTTCCTTTTGATCACCCCCGCTCAGGTCCAGGCCTCGTTGAATTGTTCGACTCCTTAAAAATTACGTCTATCCCTCTTTTACGAGAGATGCTCGTATCCAATCGATGGGGATCTGACGTCCGGCCACCTGTGACATGCATCATAGCAGATGGGATCATGTCATTCACCATTGATGTGGCTCGAGACCTTAACATACCCACTATATTTTTCCGTACAGTCAGCGCTTGCAGCTTCTGGGCTTATTTCTGTGTTCCAAAACTCATTGAAGCAGGCGAGATTCCTTTCAGAGGTAGGTTGAGACTGCCATCTGCCATTGAAGAGTCCAAGTATTCTTTTACCTTTTTTTGTTTTTCTCTTCCGATCTTGCTAGCTTCAGGTGTTTTAGTGCTTCTTTCGCTCTTGATGCAAGTAGCTAGGTTGCATAAATAATAAAAATAATTTGTAGCAGATGCCGACATGGACTGTCCGATAACGTGCGTGCCGGGGATGGAAAACTTTCTCCGACGAGCTGACCTCCCGGGTTCTTGTCGAACCAACAACTTGGGTGATCGTACTCTCCAATTCCTTGTCACAGAGACCATTAACACGACTCGAGCATCTGCCCTCATACTAAACACATTTGAAGACCTAGAAGGACCAATCCTCTGTCAAATTCGTTCTCATTGTCCGAGACTGTATACAATCGGACCTCTCCATGCGCTCTTAAAAACCCAGATTTCAGATTCCTCACCTTCTGTTTCGTCCAATAGTCTCTGGGAAGAGAATAAAAGTTGCATAAGGTGGCTTGATTCAAAACCGTTGAGATCGGTGGTGTATGTAAGCTTTGGAAGTTTAGCTACGATGACCAGAGACGAAGTATTGGAGTTCTGGCACGGTTTGGTAAACAGCGGAAAGCCGTTCTTATGGGTCATAAGGCCGGACTTATTAGCTCGAAAAGAAGGGGAGGATCAGATCCTGACAGAATTGGTGGAGGGGACGAGGGAGAGGGCGTACATAGTGGAATGGGCTCCACAGGAGGAGGTCTTGGCCCACCCGGCCGTCGGTGGCTTTCTCACCCATAGTGGGTGGAATTCGACTCTGGAGAGCATTTACGCCGGTGTTCCAATGATCTGTTGGCCCTACTTTGCTGATCAGCAGATAAACAGCAGATTTGTCAGCGAGGTGTGGAAATTGGGCCTTGATATGAAGGATACTTGCGACAGATTGAAGGTGGAATTAATGGTGAAAGAAGTAATGGAGCGGAAAAGGGATGAAATGATAAAATCAGCGGAAAATATGGCCAAGTTAGCGAGGATGTCTGTCGGCGAAGGAGGATCTTCTTCCTGCAATTTGGACAAACTGATCCAAGATATAAGATCAATGTGCGTGCGAGCTTCTTCAACTTAATTCTGAATGGTAAAGGAATTTACCTTAATGTTTGTATTAGTAGTTTAGATTATGCGCGTGGCTTCTGTGTTTTTGATTGATTTCCTTCTGCTCATTATTAATTTTAAGATGTTTAACATATGGGAAAATTTCCAATAGGTATCCAGTTTAGGCCGAGTGCCAATTTAGTATCCCAACTTTAAAATGCGATAATCTAGTATTTAAACTTTCATTTTATGATAATTTAGTATCCGACCTTAATACAACGTCAGTCGGCACCATCATGTTAAATCTGGTCCGGGTTAAATACCAAAATTAATCTTTATGAAAACTCCGACTAATCCATCCCTTTCTCTTCATTCCGACCGCTCTTCATAGGAATTTGCCATGAAAATCTAATCTCATTGAGTGGTTGAGCCCTAGATCCTGATCATTCAAATGGTCCAGCTCCAGCGGTGGCGTCACTGGTGGGCTCTTCTTGTACCTATCTAGATATATACATGTGCCCTGCATAAATCTTTCTTCCTCTGAAACCCTGCACTGAATTCCTTTCGATGTCATCAATGGCGTCTACCTCTGCACAGCTCTCCCTCTGAAAGCCTTCCCACTTCCCTTCAATTTGCTGAAACCCCATTACCAGATCTCGCTCCCCCTCTCGACAAACCACCAGAAACCCAGTTCCTTCTGTCCTCTTTACATCGCAAGCAGACTCTCAGATGGGAAGCCAAAACACTCCACTACTGCTGCCCCCTCGCCACTGCCACTGGCTTCACCACTGCTACCATCACCATCTCCCCTTCCTCTCCATCAACTTTCGTTCCTTGATTCGCCCTCGATGAACCGAGAAAAGGTGTCGATGTGCTTGTCGAAGCTCTCGAACGGGAAGGTGTAACCACTGTCTTTGCCAACCCGGCCAGGTGGAGGGTCCATGGAAATACACCAAGCCCTCACCCATTCATCCATAATCCGCAATGTTCTCCCTAGACATGAACAATGGCGTCTTTGCTACAAAGGGTCACGCTCGTGCATCGGACCTTTCGGGTGTTTGCATTGCCACCTCAGGTCCCGGTTAGGGGTGATCATAGGCCAGACTTTAGGGTTATAGTTTATTAAATGACATAATATGTATACAGACTTATTTATTAAATGACATAACATGCATATAGACTTATTTTATACATTATATAATATAAAATATTACATATAATATGAATTATACATGTTATAATATTTATAAATAAAATATATAATATGATGTCAAATAACATGTATACATTATACACAAAATGTATAAATTTAAATATATGAAAGCCGGGCTTGAAGTATTAAGCCCAAGCCCGGCCCTAAAATTTACAGGCCTGATGTGAGGCCGGGCCTGAACATAAAACACAGGTCCAAGCCCGGAATTTCGGAGCTGGGCTTATGCGGGCCGGGTTGAAATGATCACCCCTAGTCCCAGTGCCACCTATTTCGTCAGAAGCCTTGCTGACGCCATGCTTGATAGCGTTCCTCTATTGCCATCACTGCACAGGTTCCTCACAGGATGATAAGCACCATGCTTTCTATGAAACCTCAATCGTTGAGGTTACTCGATCCATCACCAAGCACAAATACCTTGTGCTTGACGTCGAAGACATTCCCCGTATTGTGTGTGAGGCTTTTTACCTAGCATCTTCAGGTCGTCTGGGTCCGGTACTGATCGGCATTCAGAACGATATTCAACAGCAGCTGGTTGCTCCCAACTGGAATACTCAGATGAAACTACCCGGTTACCTATCCAGGTTGCCAAAATCGCCAGAAGAGGCCCATTTAGAACAGATTCTTCGGTTTATATCTGAGTCCAAAAAGCCTGTCTAGTATGTTGGTGGTGGATGTTTGAACTCAAATGAAGAGCTAAAACGTTTCGTTGAGATCACAGGCATTCATTGGCGAGTACTTTAATGGGTCTTGGAGCTTACCCTGGATCAGGCGATCTATCTCTTCATATGCTTGGAATGCATGGTACTGTTTATGCCAATTATGTTGTAGAGAAATCTGATTTATTGCTTGCGTTTGGAGTCAGGTTTGATGACCGTGTGACGGGAATGGTTGAGGCTTTGGCTAGCCGGGCTAAGATTGTTCACAATGATATTGACCCAGCTGAGATTGGAAAGAACAAGCAACCACACCTCTCGATTTGCACTGATGTAAAGTTGGCATTAGAAGCGATAGACAGGTTGATAGAGGACAAGCAACCTAAGCTCAAGTTTGATTTCTCAGCGCGGTGGAAGGAGCTTCATGAGCAGAAGCTGATATTTCCATTGAGTTTTAAAACTTTTGTGGAAGCTATTTCTCCCCAGCATGCAATTAATCAGGTTTTAGATGAACTGACGGATGGAAATGCAATTATAAGCACTGGGATTGAGCAGAATCAGATGTGGGCAGCCCAATGGTACAAGTATAAGAGGCAACGCCAATAGTTGACATCAGGCAGGTTAGGTGCCATGAGTTTTGGATTGCCAGCTGCCATTGGGTTTTGGATTTCTAAGTGCCATGATCAGTTTGATCAGAAATTTGATCAGATCATACCCTGGTTGTCTCTTCCTCTGCCAGCAACAAGAGTCGTCTTCTATGGCAATGGCTGAGTTAGAAAAAAGGGGATGCAATTTCTTCCAGTAACGACAATAAGAGTCATCTTCTCCGGCAATGGTACTATTAGTTTCTTCGATTTCAATTTTTTCGACATCACATTCACTTGACATCACCAGCGTGAGGAGATGGTTTTCGGAATTTCAGGTAACAGAATGGGTGAACAATGATTCCCATTTGCAGAGAAAGGATTATAGCTGGAGTCGTTTTTGTCATTTCAAAAATGAAATCATGCATTGCTCGAAACAGCTAATGGGTAATTATGTCTTTTTGTATTTTGACCGACGATTGTCACATTATAAAGTTTGAGTACTAAGGCACTCAACCTAAAATACATGATACCTATCGAGAATTTTTCCTATTAATTTCATAATACAGTACTTTTTGGAGTGGATATTCTCACAGGCTCTAGGCGACGAGGAAGTAATTAAGGGATGAATTAATTTATTGCTTTCAGCTGGCCTGTCGCGCTCTCTCTCTCTTTGAGAGGATGATTGATCAACCAATTTGCAGAGCTGATGAGGCAAATAAGATAGACCGCCTCTCTCTTAATTTATAAAAATTGCACTAGCAGTGCAGTACTGTACGTACACACTTGATCAATTGTTTATGGCTCAATTTTAGGATCTTCCCTTTTTTTGCAGTTCATATCGATCATAAGCCATAAGGCCACAAGCATGTAGGGATAGGAAACAGGGCATTATCACTCCCTCGTGATGGAAGGCCCTACCCTACACAACCGACTGCTCTTCCCTTTCCACCTGACCCCTCTGTTTTTATTCCACCATGGAGAAATCAGCAGCTACTTTTAAGATCTAGAAATTGTTATAATGTTTGTTTTCATCTTCTACTGATGATAATCAACACCATGATTGTGATACGCAGATGAATGAAGCTATATCTGATTCACGGCTTCAAACAAACTCTGATCCCACAAACAGATAATTAAATTATACCTATGATTGCTAGGTTTTCATCCTTGGAAGCATTTGATGTTCCTCGGAGAGTCGGAGGTCCTGGTTCAAATACCACAGTGAGTTAATCCTTGTCAGGGTTTGTCAACCATGACGTCATACCTTGTTTGCAAAATTGCTTGGGCCCCGTTAGCTTCCAATTTCTTCGAAAAAGGCTCCTGTGGAATCCAAACTTCCGATTGACTAAAGTGATATTATTGATCTGAATAATAACTTCTATATATTTTGTTTTTGCAAATATTATGGATTAAATTCAATGTGCCCTCCCTAAAACATTGTGTGGGTTAAATTTTAAGAATCCAATCCCTCTCTGGACAAATATACCAAATACTCCCCTACTTTACCCTACTCTTCCTGCATATTATTTTATTATACTTGGCAACAAGTGAACAAGTATATTATTTATTATTTGTTTAATAGAATTGTCAACAATGTTTCTAGTATCATCTATTTTTGCCTTAAATGGTTATTTACATGGTTTCCAAAAACGGGCCAGACTGGACGGTAGGATTGAAAAAACTGGAAATTGGTCAAATCCATTTTATCCCAAAAGTGTTATTTCACCATAAACCATTGATTTGATCAACAAACCGCTGAATCATGACCTCAAGCCTTTATGCGCTTAGAGGCTAGGAGTTGCCTGATGGGATGGCTCCACCAACGTCAGTAGCACTGGATCATGACCTCAAGTCCAATGGCCGGGGCACTCTCCTGGCTCAGACCGGTCCATGGGAGGCGCCACTTACGTGCTAAAGGGGGACAACCATAATGGAAGGCGACCATGCGCCGATGAGGTGACTTGGCACCGATGTGAAGGGTCTCCTGTATGCCGATG